ACACAAAATGATCAAGTGAAACTGCAAATGGTGGGGGAGGCGAAGGCAAAAAGAGAGCAAAAAAATGAAAGACTATTACACTTTTTAAAGAGCAAAATGAGACTAGAGAATGTGGGAACTTTTGCTGACAACGCAAAATAATCAACTATTGTTTGCCTCTTTTGGGAAAAAGGTCTTATGTTGCTATGTTTAGGTCCATTCTCCTATTGAAAGTTGTGGAATGTAATAAATGAAAAGGTGCAAAATATACGAGATGAATAGTGGACTTTAAAGAGAGTGGGGTTATAAATGGATGATGTACATTTGGGCATTGTTTCCATTTTGGTGAGCAGAAAAATTGGCTTGGTAGATACCCAATCCGGACCAAGGTTATGGAATTGGACAAGGCGTAGAATAGAATAAAGGTGCGAAGTAAATCCTTTAAATAGAAGGATTTATAGGAGGATTTTTTTATTAAAAAAGGTGAATTATTTTTAAAAGATGTTATTAGGCATAAAATTGGAATATATGCATATATATATATATATATATATATATAAACACAATGACTCATATACAAATTTATGGTTCATACATAACTATATATATATATATATATATATATAATTTTGTGCAATAATATTTTTGAAGGTGGAAAGCCAATCCTTGGATTTGTGGGAAATAAGCAACATTTATTTTAGCACTATCACCATCACAACTATCAGTGCAATTGTTGGGTTTAAAATCTCATGTTGTGATCATTCTACCATCTTAATCTACTGACAGTCCAGTGACAAAAGAAAAAAATGAAAAAAAAAAAAAAAAAAAAACCCCCAAAGATGCCACTTTAAGTATAAAAAAAACCTTTTAGAAAAGGTATGGAAGGTTTTAAGAGAACAATGTCTAGCTTTTTTGTTCAAGAGCTTGAAATAAGAATATGAGAATATATTAATATATTACACTATTATAATAATTAGTGTGTTTGATGAGTGGCTAGAAAGCCTGCGTATATGTATTTAATATGGGTCTGTGACATATGATGGTGGCCAAAAAGATCATGGAGCAAAAAGAAAGAGAAAAAGAAGCTCCTCCTTCCTCACTTGACGAATGTTGTTTCATGAAGAGGTTGCAGAATGCATATTCTCAATGTCCCAATTAATCAAAAAAGAAAAACAATAACAAAAGAATATAACCATCATTCAAAACCTGGAATGTTTCTGGAAAAAATATAAAAAAAATTAAAAAATATAGCATCTCTTCTTAAGAAAAAATAAAAAATAAATAAACAAAGATGATCATGATCATGACTTGTTCTTGCCTTTAACATTGCACAAAATCTTTCATGTGTTGTAATTTATTTTAGTATTCAAAGAGAGTTGGTCCTTTGTGTGTTAGATACTACCAAAGTTCATTATTTTTTTTATAAATGTTGAATTATATGAAAAGAATATACACATTCATAGTACATTTGTTTATTTATTTGTAAAGAACCATAATTAAGTAATTAAGTAACTAAATAAATACCAGAAATGCAACATGGATTCTGCATGCATCATGTACTGACATGTTGTAAAATTAATCCGGTCTTTGAGAGGAATAAATTTGTAATACTTTAGGCATCAGATACATATTACTTGATCGTTGAAGAAGAGAAGCGGGGAAAAAAAAAAAAAAAAAAAAAAAAAAATTACAATTCATCATGTAAGGCTCATCATATTTTACTGTACCTATGAGTACAAAAGTTAAGCTATAATTGTAATGAAGATTAAGTTTCATATTTTTATTTTATTTATTTTTTCATGTAACTAGTGCAACAAGTGACTAACTCGCATGAACTAAGGCATTTCTTGTCTTTTACCACTGTAAAGTATTTTAAAATACTAAAAAATCAGAAACTAAATGTTATAATCAATAGTAAAGGCTCCACAACCAGTGCTTTTATTTCACAACTTTACACCTAAAAAAATGGAAAATAATTGATACTGTCCAATCGTGGAAAATTGTAAGACAAACGATAATTTCACTTGTGATGTAGATTACTATGGAATATATAAAAATAATTCTATTTGAACATTGTCACCAATTTCACACTCCCAAAAAATCTACAAAACGAAATACACTTGTCCAAAGCAACTTACATACATATTTTTACTGCAACTAATTAAAATAATTACAAATATATATATATATATATATATATATATATATATACATTTATTTACATACATATACACACACATTCACACACTTGATTTTTTTGATTTTTAAAATATTATTTGACATTTTCAAGAAATAGTAACATAATTTTATTACCTTGACTGGGATTAAAACAAATACTTGACATGTATTATTTCAAGGAAAAAATTGCCTCAACTTCCTTCCTATCATAATAATTGAACATTACATTTGCAAACATGATCCAAGTTAGTGTGTCCAGTGAAAAAGAAAACCTTGAATGGTGAATTGGAACTTAAAGATAACATTCACCAGCAGTTTAAACATTTTTGTTGCAAAATACTGTGATGTGTGTTTCTGTTGCAAAGAATTATTAATGTAGTAATTAATCAGAGTTTTCACTTTTAGACCCCCCTTGGAATCTCGTAATCAGTTAACAAATATTATTACTAAACCATTATTCAGAAATGGTAACTTCGCGCATCAATAGTAAGTAACTACCCCCCGCCCCCCCCGAAGGACCCCTTAGCCACGGCATTTTTAATTAAAAAGTAAAGGCGAGGAAAAGGCCGCGGACGGGGCGGGAAAAGTGGGGAAAGGTACTTTAAAGGAAGGCGGGGGAGGGGAGGTGCGACGCCGTGTGGATAGAATGGGCACACGGAGACGAGGAGGAGGAGGAGCGATTGAGCAGCAGCAGCGAGGGAGGGAGGGATTGATTCTATCGCAACGCAACGCAACGCGGAAGCCCAAATTGCAGCAGCAGCATCGCCGCGCCAGGCCCAATGGCTCGCTCTCCTTTATGGATTCTCACTTTACTTGCACATCCAATGGCGCTGCTGCTCTTTCCCCCCGTCGAAGGCCCTTTCTCGTCTTTACTCTTGCTTTCTCCCGCTGTTCCCTTGTCGTGATTCGACCTCCGGATAATGCTTTACCCTACTAGAACCGTTCTGCCAATTCTCTACCCCCCGAATCAGGCGCCTCCTTTGATTGCTAATCACCCACCTGTTTCCAGTTTATCCAGTTCCCTCTTCGCCGCCCCACACCCAGCCTTCATTTATCTGGTTCAGATCAAATTAGGGGGCAGGGGGGATGTCATGACACAACACGTTCGGAATGCGCCCAGTTTCAAAATCTCGTGTGCGTAAGACTGTAGGTGTTGTGTGTCCTGGGATTATGGATCTGCTGCAATCCAATCTGGATGGAGTTGCAAAAAGAGGATTGGTTTAATTGAATTGAAGGAGAGGACGGGTCGTTTATGAGTCGCTGGTGTCTCCACTTTTGGGGTGATTAGTGTGGCTGTGATTCGGCTTCCTGTTGCTAAGTCACGAGAGCGCTGACAAACGTTTCGGGCATCTCTTTCGGATGTCTGAAACACATGTACCTCAGGTGTCGATTAGCGGTTTTGATGGGCGTGATCAATTCAGCAAAGCAGTGTCACTCGTGGAGGGTTTGCTCGGTATGCACTCCGGATTCCACCAGTTTCTAGAAACACAGCGCTTGGGGCACAACCCAGAATCCTGGTTTGTTCTTGACACCAGTTTTCATTCTATACAAACTTTTCACATATTCTCAGTGGAATCGCACGCACCCATGAACACGTCCACACAACACTCTCCTTTTGGACAGCTTTTCCAAATCACCAATCACTATATGTCGCTCTAACATAAACCATCCGGGTTGAGTACAAACAAGTCCATCGGATATCCCATCCCTGTCACCGATTCCACCCCGTTCACACAAAAACTGCTGTAACACCACAATCGGCTTACTTTTTATCGTGAAAGCACCTCCTCTCTGCGTACCCTACCGTCCACATCAGCGTGTTGCCCTCATGTCCTCGGGTCGCACATTCTCTTCCTCTCTCATTCACATGGACGTTCGATTTTCGCGATGGCCATCGCATCGCGGTCCCAAACATTACCCAGGCGATGAATTTCGGCTGACCTGGAAAGCCGTATGATTTTCAAGACTTTTTGATATAAATTTTCCTCCAAAAGATTGCAACTAAGCCACGATTGGGCACGCAGCGCAGCAGTGCCGTGAAGCGACCAATGCACAGACTCCCTAACCTCTGGAGGCAGCAATTAGTAGCGCGATCCTCCGTAGGTGTGGGAGAAAAGAAAAAGAAAAACACCGCGAGGTCGAAATGAAAGAAATGGAAGTGCAATTAGGAAAGGTGTCGCAGTAGCCTGCAAAAAGGCAAAAGACCTCAGCGAGGGATTGGCTCAGCGAGGAGACCAGTGCATGCATGTTTGGAGGCAGTGCTTGTCTGCTTGCGGGAGCGATCCTGCACAGAAGCTGCAGAGCAACTAGAAAGCCAATCGGGGCGGGGAGGATTCAACTCCGTCTAGCGTCTAACCAATAGCGGCGACGGAGTGTGGCGATATTGGTATGGCTATGTGCGCTGGCAGGCAACCATGGGCGGCAGACAAACGGACCAATGAGTGAGGGCTGCGGAGCTCTCAGAAAAAAGGACCTTTATTCGATTCTCCAACTTTAGCTGTAATGGCTACCAACTATTGTAATGAACAACCAAAGTTACTATGAAAAGACGATCAGTATTTCTTACTTGGCAATGTTTTATATCTGTAAAGCCTCTCACCAGTCAGCTGAGAACACATAATTTGGATGTGTTGGAGCTGAGTCAACACAAGGGACTTGTAATTCTGCAGGGAAAATGAGGCGATTTGCAAATGAACACGGCATTGAGATGCCTCTCGGTCACAAAGGGGGGGGGGGATTAAAATGACATGGAAATGCCATGCCCTGGATAATACAGCGTGGAGTTGGGTTTGGGTAAGGAGATATTGTTCGGAGATGACAGGCGGGAGATAAAAAGGAGCTGGCGATGGCAACGCCTGAATGAAGAGGCTTCGGGAAGCATGGGGTTGGCTACCTCGTCTCTGTTGTCTCAAAAGCCAAGACTACAATTCGCGAACTTTTCCACCATATCTTTAATTTCTTGAACTGCAGCGGCGTCACCTCCTGTATCTTCATCACATCCGGCTTTGCTTTTGGGTTTCTGACCTCGACTCCTTGAGCCTTCGATGTGCAGCAAGCCTGATCACCTTGCCAGCGACTGCATAGTTGTAGTAGTACTTGTGTGGGATTCTTCCCCCTGTAGTGTCACCTTCTGAGTTCAGTGGCCGAGGCCTGCAAAGCTCGGACCTGGAGGCCAGCTTTTTTTCCGTATAAAGTTGCATTGTTGGAGCTGTGGGTGGGTCTCGTCGATAGGTCGTGGCATCGGTTCTGTTAGGTCGGAGGTTTGGTTGGTGTTCTTGTGGAATGTATTGTTTCTGAAGTATTGTAGAGTGACATGTTTCGGTGTAGAGCGACATGTTGACGTATTTGTGGTGGTGAGTTAGTCGCTTTGTATGTCGGGAGGGACGTAGAACTTGGGAGGTTTCAAGCCTTTGCGAGCCTCTCTGTCAGTTCCATTTCAATTCCATTTCAGTTTTAAGTGCTACTGTGCTACTGAGTACTGGGAATCATTGATACCATCCGGTTTCTAAATCATCGGTTGAGTAGCTTGAGTTCTGCTCGTTCTAGCATAATTCACCTAGATTGCTTCGTTTCACAAGTGTGTGTTGAAAACCATGAGGAAAAGAAATAGGTCCAACAAAACAGACCTCGTTGTTTCTCCGAATTCTTAGCTGCTGCGAAGTGAAGGTGACATTGGCAGACGAGAGCTGAGAGTTTTCCGATTTGCATCAATGGAGCCCTGCTAGAAAAGATCACTAGGATGGAGAAGCTTTGATGGGCCTATGGTTACAATCATGTCATGAAGTGAGGTTTCATACCGCTGCAATTAAAAGCATCTCAAAAGCTTTTCAATTTGTCGAAGAAACTTTGGTGACTAAGGACATCTGCAACGCACAGCTAACAAGACAACGGCTGTGCAGCTACACGAGGTGAATTTGAGGAAGACGTAGCAACGTCTCTGACATTTTTAAGGTAGCAGGCGTTGTAAATAAAGAAATATCGTCCAATGGCAGGTGTGAAAGGAGCAGCTCACGCCAACGTGGCCATGGCTATGGCCATAGCAGGCAGGGCTTCACGAGCCTGCGATGTCTGCGGTTCTCAGAGAGCCCGATGGTACTGTGAGGCTGACAACGCGCACCTTTGCAATCGATGCGACCAAAGTGTTCACTCCGCCAACGCACTGGCCCTTCGCCACGAGCGTGTCCGCCTCAATCCGCAGGACTGCACCACTCAACCCCTAAAGAAAGTTGTTGTTGATACCTTGGATGCCAGTAACAAATCGCGCAAGTCTCATCATCCCCGGCCGACAGACAAACACTCACTGCCTTCACGCAAACGCTCCCGTCTGTCCCGTCGGCCCAATCCTCACCTCCGACCCCCGACCAGCACTTCCAAATCGCAACATCGCCGAGGTAAGGTGAAATCTGAAGGCAGAGGAGCGGAAGATTCTCATGAAGTTCCGAACTTCATTACCGTCAACATCCAGGAGTCTCCCGTATCCTTCGCGCATGACAGTGCCACGGCCATGTCGATGGCAGAGTTCTGCAAGGAAAGGGCCACTGCGGCCGCGTCTGTGTATGTGGATGTGGAGGACGCATACGAGGAGATTAGCAGCGGAGACACAGGACCAGATTTTTTGGTCCCGAATGGCTACATGGACGACTTCGAGAGTGCAATTGGGGCTCCCATCGGATGCCATGAGGACGCTAGAAGTCCCTTCGACTCTGGAAACGGTGCAATGGACATGAACAAAAGCCATGACATAATGTTTATGAGAAATGACCTTGAGCTTTGTGGGAGCGATGAGCAATACGAAGATTATCCCTTGGATTTCTCAGATATCGTGGGATTGCGGGATGGGGATGCCTTTGAGGGAGATTGTGGGGATACGTCTGAATTGGTCGATGAAGTTGGGGAGGAAAACAAAGACGAAGATGGCGACGGAGATGGCGATGGCGATGGCGATGGTTTTGAATGTAGCCTAGACGCGAGAGCACAGAGCAACGTGTGTGAAGACCAAGGGCTGGTATCTTACACACAAGATTTCCCCTACAAGGTGAAGCAAGAATATACCGTGCCAGATAGCTACGATCTTATAAAGAAGGAGGTAGCTGCCGTGTTGCGGTGCTCGCTTCAGGGCGAGGAAGTGAAACCTGCACCGTCGCTGCTGAGATTGAACTACGAGGATATCATGTCTGCATGGTCTGACCGCAGCCTCTGGACTGATGGAAAACGTCCGCAGACAGTGCCCGATGATTCCAACTCAGAATCTACGGTGCGCAAACCTGTGTTTTCTCATTATGAATGTGTTCGGAGTATGTTATCCTCGACCAGAGAAGCTCACGGAATACTCTCGTAATGCTTTGATCCAACTTGGTTTTTTTCCCGTCATTTTTTCAGGTAGACCTCGGGATGGTACCAGATTTCGGTAATGGATGCCAAACTGTTCCAGGAGGAAGCGACGGAGGAAGAGGAGCTCGCATTATGCGCTACAGGGAAAAACGGCGCACTCGTCTTTTCTCAAAAAAAATCCGGTATGAAGTTCGCAAGTTAAACGCGGAGCGACGACCTCGGATGAAGGTATGATGAGCATACTTTTCTCTCCCTCTGCTTAGTACTCATAAAGAATGCAGCCTCTTATTTGCTACTAACAGCTCATGTCACAAACTCCAAAAAGAATCGCAAATCTAACAAGCCGTTCCACTTTGAAGTTGTTTCCTAGCAACGCTGAAATATCACGATCTTCAATTTTCATCTCGCTCTGCTATGAGACCTATATCGACATGCCAAACATTATAACCCGAGCTTGTTGAGTTGCGTTGTCACCATTTTGCCACACTTTTAGTGTCTCAATATTGTCAAATACGCTGGTAAATCCTAGATTATGCCTGAATGTCTCATGCTGTTACTGTTGCTCTGAAACAGGGCCGGTTTGTGAAGCGAACACCCGGATGCTCATGACCAAAGCTAAGGTTCAAAGGTTTTCGCATGGGTTGGACTGCTGATGAGGGTCTGCAATGTTAGTCCCATCAGACAAAAATGCCCAAGCTAAACGTGCGAAGGACATGCCGAAGTAGTCCGCCACCGCAGAGGCGTTTGAGCTGGTTCTGGAGAAGGGCATACATATCTTCCATATTAATTCTATGAAAACAATGATCTGGACACTTAGTATTTGCCTTCTTGCACGTAGGATCCAGCCGACTAATTTTAGAGCAGAGGCTCTCGATGGATGTATTGGTGATCATGTGTTGTAACATAGTAATATTGCTAGTCGAGTGGTTCAACAGGATATCTTAGCATTGTACAAAAGCGCCAGTGACGAGTCTTATTTTCAATTAAGAGCACAGAGAATTCTTTTTTCCTCCTTGATGAGGTATTGGAAGTAGTTTGCTAGCTAGCTTCTCAGGTGGCCCAAGCGGTGCTCTGTCTTTTCTGAGATCCGATTGATGTTATTGATTGCGGAGGATCCGTGATTTCATTACCAGAAGGATTGCAACCTTCACGCACCACAATGGAGTCGATCGACTGTTTGTGCACATGCATGGGCCTGCCCAAAATCTGCATTCTCATACTGTCACGTGATTTTACACCAGTTTTCCCTACCATCTGGTTAGTACATCCCAGTCCCAGCTCAGGTACGATCTTGCATTATCATGGGTTTGGCACTACCGAATGACAGTCCTCACCGACCGAAATAAAGAGTCCATGATGAGCAAGGCCTCATGGAAGTACGTGCCGGTGTGTTGAATATTGCTTGCCTGTTGCATGTGTGTCATTATCACGACCACCTTCAGCTGATTGGCAGGTACCGGCACTCAACTTACGCCCCGGTTTCACCAACAGCAAAATCTGTGTCGTAGAGTTCCATTGCAGTCACGGTCTGTTGACAATCTGACTGCAGGTTCGCAGCCTTGTCCGCATGTGTGATCGTCTTGTGCCGCGAGAGTTATCAATCTTGTGGCCTCTAATTTTGCAGCCTGGAATCCACCATTTGGACCGATTAGAGCAACAGTACCAGAAAAGTGGGTCGACAGGGGGTCTGGTTTATTGCAAGCTAAATCCATCGACCCGTGACACAAGTGTGTGTGTTTCGAGCATCAGCTGATGCTACATTTAGGCACTGTAACTTGCTTGCCGACCTTGAAGAGCATCGAAAACTGTGATGGCTGTATCGATAGAACTGCAGCTGCGTGCCGAGGGATTTGATGACTGAGTTGCAGATAAATATGTCAGGATTGGTTAAGAATGGCTCTGAGGCTTGAACACCTTAATTCTGTGATGGGTTGTCTGAGTTTTCAGTCATTACTACCGCTCAGCGTGGTCCAAACCAGGTTTCAACGTGTTACAACTAAGAGGTCTGATAGTGTCGGTGAGGAATTATTCAATGATACACCGAGCTCTGTAATCTACTCATTGACGGAGGGTCTCATTGTGATGCGGACTGGAATATTGTGCAATTGTACATTATAAATGAGTTTTCAAAAGAACTTGCGTGTACATGAAAAAGTACATTGTTTTCAAGTTTCTGGTTAAAAGAGAGGCTATATGGAAGGATGCAAGTGTGAACTATTTGCTCTCTATTGGTAATAATTATTAACACGATACTTCAACAATGTAGGTTAAACTCTCATTTTATAGATGCTGAGCTTCTGATTACTTTTTTGTTTTTAAATCTGGAGATGAGCATGTAATAATGATTTGTAAATAAAGACTATTGTTTGATTTATGTAATGTTATAGTCAAAATATTAACTCCACATTAATTATTTTACAAAAGATATTAAAATTATCTTTTAATAAAAATGTAATAAATAAGGACTAGATTAATAATAAATTATATAAAAGGTTGATAAGTAAATTTTAATCTAAAAATATATAAGTAACAAATCAATATAAATTATCAATATTATATTTAAATATAATATAATATAATATAATATATTTGGAATATTTTTTATTTATTAAAATTAAAATATAAAATACTTAATTAACCTATTCATAAATCAATAATAGATCAAGCTAATTTTATATGAATTTATTACATAAAATAATTTTATTCTTTGAACTAAAATTATTTTATGACACTTTGTAAAATTTTCATCTAAAAAAAGGTAGAGGCACCAAAATTTAAATAGGTCAAAATAAAAACAATAGAATTTGTAGCTCTTAAATAACTTGTATTAAAAAGCAAGAAGAGGGTTTAGAAAATAATATAAGTCCTTTATAAAACAATGTGGCACAAAAATTTCTAATATTATTAGGCAAACTTATTTTTTAGCATATTATCTTTAATTAATATTATAGTATTTATCTTTTAATTTTATTGCTTATTAAAAAATATTAAATAATATGTTTTGGTTTTCAATAATATAGGCAAAATCCTTCTTATTGGCATTGATTTTGTCTTGTGTTATAAGGAATATAAAACATATAGTATCAATTTCCATGTCTTCTATGTTTGATTGTAAATCTTAATTAATAAAAGTATTTGAAATAAAAATATAGAAGTATTGAAGTCCTAACATACAACCATTTAATTGAAATGCAAAAGTTGATTATAGCATTTAAAAGCAAAATCAATAACTTGATTCAAAGTTTGAAGATCAAATAAGTTGAGCAATAATTTCTTCATATTATAATATAAATTATAAGAAAATTGACTAATAAATTAAGTATTATTTTTCTTGATATTTACATAGTAATATTCTATAAGTCCTCTCTATATATTATCTAATTAGGAATTATGTGACAATGTTCTATAAGATCTTTAACACATGTCTAACTTATAGGACAAATTTCCTATATGTATGCCACATAGTCAACTTCTTAGGTAAGTTTTCAACCTATTAATCATCTACAGATATGTATAAAGTCAAATCATTGTCTATAAAGCTTTTTCATAAGATATTATATAATTTATCTATTTTTACTTACTTCTATTTAAGTCCACTTATTTAGGTAATTATTAGTATTAATTTTATATATGACATTAAGCCCTCTTTCTAATGACAAGTTTTCTAAGGAGCAATTATTATATATAGAAGATGTGGCAAATTATATTTGCCATATATTTTGATCTATGTTCACTTTGAAGGTAGTTAATAGGTCTTTTTAGCCATCAATAAAGTTCTATACTAAGATGGAAAGCTCACCTTGTTATTTGATCATAATTGGAGCTTTTATAACTTTATTCAAATAAAATATTTTTATACCATCATGGATAGTTCATAATTTATTTAATATTACCAAATATTGAGAGTTTCTTCTAAGGACACAATATTAAACTTGTTGTACCTTGCTATCTATTTAAAAAAGATCAAATTGTTCTTAAGGATCTTCATTTATATTAAATAATTTTAAAGGTTGTAACAATAGCAATATCTTGTTTGATAATTCAATAAACAATAACTTTTGGATTAAATTTTATTGGTTGTTGATTCTTTATCTTTTTAGCACCACAAACTTAAATAAATCATACACAAGAATAGAAGATAGAATGAAATCTTTATTAAGATTTGTTAATTTTATTGTAAAAGATTGCTTAATTCTTTATCTTGATTTTAATAAATATTACCAATAAAAAATATTGATCTTTTCTATTGACTTAATAAGATTTTTAGATGGCTTTAATATATATTCACTAATATCCTTCCTACATCAATGTATAGATATTTCAATCTATTTTGGCATTGCTTTGAATTTAAGACCTCTTCTATCTCATATTCTTGATTATTGCTGACTTCTATAAGAGGATGTGACAATAGTCTTTTTGATATATCTACTATCTTTTATGGGTTAAGAAGAAACACATAAAAAGATGGTATAGATCTTCATAGATTCCAATCAATATAATTAATGTAGAAGTAGTTTGATCTATTTATAAATAAAAAATGATCAAAATTTATAATAATCCAACTTGTCACAAGTGTAGATAGTCTTAATATTACAATGAAGTAATCATACTATATCACCAACGTGGAATTAAGATTATTCTTTGAAATGGACAACTACATTGATCTTTTTTCATTCTTGAGCTTTCTTAAATTATACCTTTATTGCTATATGTAGCTTTGACAAATAATTTTTCAAATCTTTTACAACATAGTTATCAATTTTTAAAAAGTTAAAAATATTAAATTATAAATAATAACTATAATTAGTATAAAGGAGTGATTATAATTTTTACTAAAGCTTTGATTTATATTATGAGTTCATGATCACTTAATAGTACAAATTAATATGGATTGTATTAAATAATTTATATTATTATTTATTTAAATAGAAGAATATACCATATTATCATAGATAAATTTTTCTAAAGACAAAAAAAGATATCCAATTATCATAATAGTAGTTGATGGTACATGTCAAATATTTCTCTAATACTTGATTTATTCATTTCATTTATCTATTTGGAGATAAAAAATCAAAAATAATTTTATATCTACTTTTAATCTTTTGAAAAGAATTCTCTAATGTATCTATATATATATATATATATATATATATATATATATTGAGTCCACCTATTTGATAAGATATTTGTTGATAATCTATGATAACGATAAATATTGTCAAGAAAAAGTTTAGTTTTTTTCTTTAGGCATGATATTTTTTGTATATAGTATAAAATAGGCCATTTTAGTGAAATAATCTACTATTATAAATATAAAATCTTAAAAACTTAAAATTGAAAGAATTATGATAAAACCTATAGAAATAAAAAATCATGATTGTTTTAATATAGGTAATGGTTGGAGAAGTGAAAGATGACCAGTTTATCTCAAGTATCTAAGACCTTTCTAAAACCCTCCAAAAATTGCACTAATATCACTCGGCCACCAACTTGAAAAGTGAAGCAGAAATCCCGGCAGTGATTTCTCCCTTTCCAACTGTTAATTTTGTCTCAAAATTGCTGTGTAGCTTGATCTTCAAGTCCTTCAATACCATGCCAATTTTCACCTTAATCCAACTAATAGATCTTTAGATATCATAGAAATCCTACTCAACCTCAAACTACCACCTTCTGAAACCCTCTTGTGCTAAAAACTAGATATCTCTAAACTACGCCGTTAGATTATGACAAAATTTTGTATATACTTAGCACACTCAATAATTCAAACAATATCAAAATTTCAACTGTAGATGTTACACCAATTGCACGAATTAGCCAAAATTGCTAGCCCTAATTATATTATATAAAATCCAAATCACTAATACAAATCCTAACTTCGAACAACAATTGCTAAGTCCTCAAAAATCCTCCAAAAATAATCCTTATGCCTCTAGAAAGAACTTTAAGCTAGCTTTCAAACCCTATCCTCCAAACTTTGAATGCTTCCCTATTTTGCCCTAGACCATCATTTTAGTGGCTAGAGGTTTGATTTTGACCCTGTCTCACAAACGGTCGATCCCCAAGTATCAATCTAACCTATCCTGAGGTTTTTTTAGTCCAACCCTAGTACCAACTATACTAATTATTTACCTCTTTTAATCTAATTTTATTAATT